ATTGCAGTTTTTGACTTTTTTTCTCAGAAATGAGATATTTTTCCACGGTAATATGTTGACCCGGATAACCGCAACCATCATACCAAATTTCATCAAAATCCTTCCAGTGGATTTTCCGTGATGCGGAATTCGATTCAACATGAGGAATCAGGGGCATAGTACACCACGCTGGCCAAGTGTGGGTTGGCGGACTTCATATGTCTTATGAAAACTGGCTAGATTCTCTCAGACATGCAGGTTTCTCTACAATGTTTTCCTTCACCGCGTCACCGTTAAGATAAGTGGGAATCATGTCGGAAATGATTTGCACATGAATATATCAGCGGTGCGAGACCCGGAATTAGAACCCGCTTCGCTCCGCACTCCCTTTTCGTAGCGAGGGCTTTACCACTGGGCTACCACTGCCCAAAATAATTTTGATCTATTTAATCTCAATCGATAATCTAAAATCAAATTAGCAGAACATTCCAAGACGTGTAAAATCTTAAACTGTGATAAACCAATGAATGATAAGGAAACAGACGTACCTTTAGAAATACACGGGTTACACAATAGCAATGATAAATTTGTATCGCCCCGGGCTTATGCTTCGTTCAAGCCCGCCCATCATAATTAGACCTACTCTGCCCCTCCAATGTGAGGTAAATCACCTTAAATCGAGGGAGATGTATGAATTCCGCAGTTCATTTAACGATGGTCATTGATGGTGGTTAATAACAAAGGTTCTAATGATTTACATCAACAAATCGGCACGGTTAGCGACGAAAGCGCATTGCAGCTATCATTATTGTTCGGTTTGCATATTGAATTGTGCGTTCTATTGTTTATAGCTGGATTAACTACGTGTGTGGCTTGAGGAAAGTGTATGAAAGGTACAATTAGGATGTCTACTCGGTTTCATAGTAGGCAGGTACTATTGTACGGGAAGCGAACCGCTACAACTATATTAAACTGTTTCGCATTTGCTAAATCTTTGCTATTTATTATTAAGGTATGGAGTAATGTAATGAGAAAATTAATGTGATGACTGATTTTGAGATGTTTTGGTGAATCGGAGTAGTGATACAAGCGATGCGTCTAGGTACGTATTTTTTTAACCATAAAATATTAACAAACACAACCCAGGGGTTGTCACCAAAAATTTGCTCCAGGATATTTTTAATAAAACAAAAAAACTCTTTTCCTGTGACAAATTAGTATCAATAGAAAGTAAAAGACTTCTAGAAAGTATCATCATACTTTTGGGGCCATTTTTCAAACATTACGTGACATCCAGTTATAAGCATGTAAATTGAAGTAGTTAATTGCTCGTATCGTTTTCCGGAACAAACCAAGTATCAAAATGTAGATAATTTTATAACTATAATATAGTGTGGTCATACAAAAACATCTCTAGCTGGAGCAAATTTTTGGTGACAGCCCCCTTGGGTCATGTTTGTTAATATGTTTTATGATATAAAAATATATTTCGTCTGGAAAAAGAATGACGGAGCCACCACAAAATTCGGGATCTTAGACTATTTTGTTTGTCAGTTTGTCCTTCCTTGTTCTTACAGGCAGCAACGGAAAAACTCTTATCCTGGGGCTATCTAATTATTCGAATTAAATTGTAAAGAGTTTTAAGAGAAATAAAACGAGGGCGGGTCACTAGTAACATTTAAATTAAAATTTTAATATTTATTTCCGGTCGGTTAATATACATATTTTGCCCGCCCTCTATATCTTTTGCTTAGTTTACATTTGCAATATTAATATTTATATGGCATAAACTTGTTTTAAGCACTCATTTAAATATACGGTATCTTTTGATTTTAGTTATATTTTTAAGGTCAAATCCATTTCTAATAAGATCCGCCTCTGCACCAATTTCTCGTCTTAAACGCCATATTAACAAACTTACATTGTTTTTAAATAGATGTTTGGATTAAGTACTTATACCCTCTAAAATCTTATCATAAATCTTAATTGCGAAATAACAATAAAATATCGCTTAGGCGACCTAGAGAAAGCAATGCAACATGAACTATATGTCTATGAAATTAGAGTTTAAAATGTTTTTTTTTATAGCAATAATGATTGGTATCGATCATTACATTACGTACCTTATAAGAACGAGATCGTGGGAAAATGGCCGATAGCTAAAGTATGGGATTGAGATGCTTTTTAATAATATTGTTTTGTCTACTTGGTAATGTCATTAATTTTATACTTACATATTTTAAATGTATAATAATATTATCGGAATATAGGTTAATTAGCGACTCATCCTCGCTTCGCTCGGGTTCGTCCCTAGGTCAGTTTTAACGGTTAGTATGGAATAGATAGACTATATATTATATGATAATATATAGCCTTCCTGAATAAACGGGCTATCTAACGCAAAAAAAATCTTTCAAATCGGATTAGTAGTTCCGGAGATTAGATTACCGCGTTCAAACAAACAAACTCTGCATCTTTATAATATTACTATAGATAATATTAGTAAGACTAGCGACTCACCCTCGCTTCGCTCACGTTCGCCTCAAACTCACTAAGCCAACCTATCCCATGGGAACCGTACATTTTTTCGGGATAAAAAGTATGCCTATATGTTATTCTGATGTATGAGCTATGTTATTTTATTGTAAAGTGTCATTAAAATCCATTCAGTAATTTTTGCGTGAAAGAGTAACATACATCCTTACATCTATAGGTACATCTAGATATCCATACATCCTCACAAACTTTCGTATTTATTATATTAGTAGGTTTTATACAAATTGTGGCTATGACGAACGACCTCGTGTCCGTACCTAACTACTAATCCTGTTGGTAACAGGTTCAGTTAAATTCAGGTAAATGTTCAGGGAATGTTTGTATTTTGTTTATTAGTCTACTAGTTTTTATTAAGTCCTTGCTTATTAAGAGCTTAATAAAAAAATCAGACAAGTGCTAGATAGATTTGTTCATCGGGAGTCCCATTTTTTTGTTTTTTTTTCTATAATCTATAAATAAAGTTGGAATATTTATAAAGTTAAAAATCCGAAATAAAGTTTTTTTTACTAAATAAAAAAAGGGTTAATATAGATTTATCAGGAATCAGATATTTTCCTGCAGTAAAAAGTATCTTATATGTTGACCCGGATAACCAGCTATCATCATATCAAATTTCATAAAAGTCTGTCCAGTCGCTTTCACATGATGCGTTCCCAGACAGACAGACAAACAAAAATTAAAAAAAAGAACTAAAGATTCGGCGTCTCTATCGATAATAATGACTATTTCAATAAAATTTTCCAAAAAAACATGTTATGTACATATTCGACTCAGTTACAATTTTATTATATATATAGTAAGTACTGTGCTCATAGTTATTGACAAGATACTAAAGTTGTGTTTTGTTACTTCCGGGATTCAGAATAAGAGTTTCATGATTTCTAAGCTAAGAGATACAAATGAAGTAAGGTCGCTTGTTTAAAATATATTCTAATCGATCGCGATATAAGTAACGACTGATATAAGATAAATAAACAGAAAATCAAAAGAGTTAAATTCTCCGTTCCATTGTCCGTCATTGTGCCAACGCTAACGTAATGATTATTAATCACAATTTGAATATATTGATCAGGTACCTTTGTAGTATGGTAGCGTGTTTCACACAGACCGACCGCCAAAATTTTATTTATATTTTATGTACAGGTAGTTTTATTTAACATAAAATATTTAACAGTAGTTTAGTATTTAATTTTAATTATTATTATTTGTTTTATAGAATGTATGTTAGGTATTGTTTATATTTAAAAAAACCCGTATTTGTGTGTACGTAATGATTCTTCTCCTCTCAAACGGCTGGACAAATTTTGGTGATTTTTTCTGTATTTATAGGGTCATTTGGATAATTGATAACTTTATTTGAAGGCGCCGTTGTCGAGGTACTAAGTTTTTTTCAATCAAAAACGATTTGTGGCAGCACAACGTTTGCCTGAGTAACTTGTAGTTTGTTTTAAAAGTTAAAGTTTTGTAGACAACAATGAGTGTTTGTACATTGTACTTTTTGTAGACAACGCGTCATGCAAATAAATAAATGTAAGCTTTTGAGAATATTAAGAGTTGTTAGGATTTAGAGAAAACATCAATATTATATTAAACCAAAAATGTAATCAGTTATCACCAAAAGTAAAATCTTATATGTTTTCTTACAACTTACAAGATACAGCACTGTCAACGTTTGTATACAATAAACAAACAGCATCGACAAGCAAATATTTAATTATTACAAAGCAGAGTTTATGTATCAACCTGTAGGGCTGGTGTGCGGGCGCGGCAAACAATAAAACGTAGTGATTAATTTATCCACTCCGCAGCTAACGATTTGGGGTCACCGGTACAATTTGTATCGACCTACCGGCTGGCTTTGAGAAAAATTAAACGAAAGATATTGATTTTGTTATCTTTAGTATTAGTGGAGTTTAATGAGAGTTCTAGTATTAGTAATAGTAGAAAATAGAAACGTATTACCTATATGAGCTGAAAAATTGAATGATATTCAATATTTTAGAGATTTTTTATTATTGTTAATTGTTTAAATTAAGATATAGGTAAGAAAATATAGTTAAAAAGTTGAAAAAAAAAACATTTACAAAACTGATTTTTTTCAAACAATTATTTTCCAATTTTTCTTTCATGACAAAGGTAATTTCAAAGAAAGTATTAAATCTAAGAAAGAATTATGAGTAAGAAGTAAGTTAAGTGAAGGGTTTTCGAAAATTTATCACAGAAAAGGAAAATAATTTGGAAAATGGGGGTTTATATGAAAGATCGTAATTTTTAGAGTTATAAATATGAAAATTGAGAAAAATTATCATTAAACTTTAAGATGTTATAATATCCCATCAAGCCAACTAATATTGAAATAAAATACAAATATTGCTATAGCAAACTAAAAATAATCTATCAATATACGAGCCTCGTAGCTTCATAATAAAAAATGTGTCAACTTTCTAAGCACTACACAAGCTTACCATTGAGTGTCCGAGGTATTCAGCAGCGTTATCTGATATGTATAACAGTTTCCCATTCTGTGTCATCATCATCAAGAAACCGTTTAAGGCCTGAGAAAAGAAAAAAAAATGTTAAAACACATACGTATACATATAATGTAATAAGTAGAATATTTGAATATAAATCTTCCACTGTAATAAAATTAATATATCTCATTTGATGTCTATCAGTGAAACCTGGCCAATTTTCAGAACGGACCAGTGGCCAGTATCTAAGGCCATCTACACGAATGTCACGGGTTCCGTTCCTGACTGAGACAGATGCTTGTTTATATATAACAAATAGAACTTCCAGACTGGTTAAATTGAAAAATAATAGAAGATATCATCATTATATCAAAATTAAAATAAAAAAATAATCATTATATTTCACTACATAACTTACATACTTATACACTTTATTATGAGATGTCTGATGATTTTATTAATATATAATTATTTTCTATATAATATATAATTGTTTTCCTCTTCATTAAGGTAATCAAAAGGCTAAAAGATAATTTTGAACAAATGTACTAAAATTATTTTTGTGCAAGCAATGAAATACTATATAATCATAATTTTTAAGTTCTTCTTTGTGGAAGGACCTTGTGTTACCAGGAAATCATTACTGAGCTTATATTTAACGTTTTCGTTCACCAAATTGCATTAATATAAAAACTTTAATTATACAAATTCATTTAATTCGAATAATAATTGCCAACTGAGGTATTGAAACTATAGAGTAGATACTATAGAATCTATACATATAATAAAATTGTAAATAAGCCGAATCTGTACATAAGATATTTTTTGGAAAATCTTATTGAAATAAACATTATTATCGATACAGAGGCCGAATCTATAGTTTTTAGAATTTGTGTCCGTCTGCCTGTCTGTCTGTCTGTTACCGCATCACAGAAAAACCACTGGAGGGATTTTAATGAAATTTGGTATGGTAATAGCTGGTTTTCCGGGTCAATATATAGGATACTTTATACTGCGGGAAAGTATTTCATTTCTAAGAAAAAATACAAAAACTGCAATGTAAGAGTATACTAATATGTATAACCTAAGAATTTGGTTTTCGGTCATCTGACAGCGGGCGGAGCCGCGGGCAATGCTAGTTAAGGAATATTCGCTAGAATCCTAACTGCACTCCGCTCCTAGAAAGTTTATTCAATAACCACTAAATACAACGAAAGAAAGAGTAATATCCTATCCTATGTATCTAAGGTCCATAATAACTTAATATTTATTTATAGAACACTACTACGAATGAAAACATTTTTTTATATATATATATATATATATATATATATATATATAGATATATCCAGATTAGAAATACTTCGAGCTAGAATCGAATCGAAACCCTCACTCCAAAATACAGGTACAATACAAAATATAATGCGAATACAATGGTTAATTTCGTTATAAGTAATTTTTGATAGCTTTAACGTATTTTAGTTGTGAATTGTGTGCCATAATTTACAATCAAATATTCAAACAACGTTTCACTTTCATAATAACGAGAACGATATAGGCATTGTGGAGTCGCTATAATAGTAAAATGTGATAATCTACGATAATACTCGTTTCACACCATGTTTGAACATTTCGATTTAATATTTTATCAGTACTGATAACCGTTTAACCACAATTGGGTAAATGGAATTACTATGAATAACTACATCGTATGGCGCAGTGATAACGATCCTGTCTTCTACTGTAGAGGTGTAGGTTCTATTGTAACACTCGATAAAAAACGAGGGATATTATAAGTTTCACTTCATATAGACGTCATATGCCTACTAATTCTATTCCATTTTTGAAGTGAAACTTCTTTAGAATCGTTGTGATTTGAAACTCGATGAAACGGAAATGCGACACTAAAAAGAGACAAACACATAAATATATAAAAAAGAATTATATATATAAAGATAAAGATTAAGCCGGCGAGCGAATGAGATAACATACATTGCCATGTTGCCATGGTAACCGTTGTTATTGTCTGAGAAATATATAATATTAAGTTTCACTTCTACCATGTGTGCCACACGCGCATTTTTTTCTTTTATAAAAGCAAGCTAGTTTTCGATATATATTTTTTACATTATAAGTGTTTTTTTTTTGTACGACTGAATGTGATCTGACGACAAAAGGATTATAAGTCTGACGACATATGAGTATGATAAATTGCAAAGCTTTTTTTACTGAAAGCTAGTTTAATCAAAAGACTTCTAGGTGATAAAATTATATCCTGCTATTTTAAATTAACATTAGGGTATAGGTTGTAGTAATATTAAAATGTTATTATAATGCATTTATATATCAATAAATTTATTCGGTGTGCGAAATTTAACTTCAGGCAGCCAAAGTTTTCTTCTCAGTTTTCTTCTCAGTTTTCGAATCATATATATTACTAATTATTCTACTAAAACTGCATTTTTATGAAAAAACACATCTGCATCTAATATTTACGAACATGAGTTCTGTATTCTAAAAAAAAATTAAACTTTAGGTCAAAGATCCCTAAATCGAAGTTAATAAGAGGTTTTAAGAAGCCACGCCCATTTAATAACGTAGTTTACTCGAATTGAAATAAATCTGTATTAATTCCATCTCTTTCCTTTGTATTATAGAGTTAAATGTCAGAGAGAGATGGGCAATGATAAAGCGTACCAATTTGTATAACACAATGCGGCGTGGGAAACACAATAACTGTGGAACAGTAAAGTCTTCTTTAACCTTTTATTTTTTTTTACATTTATTTTTCGTATTTTATATACAATGTTTTATTACGGGTCTGTTATCTTCCTATTTTGTTATAAATACGAGGTATTAAAGTTTTAATTTTAGATCATAATATTAAAAAAAAAACCTAATATAGAAATTGGAGTTTTAATGTTGCAAACAAGTTGACATAAAAATATTACTATGTAGTCGGAGATCAAGCATATATCTAATCTTTCTTTTGATATTCGTCGCAGTCGGGTAAAAATGGGGTGTTAATTTATTAAATATCATCTTACCTTTGAAAATCCAAAGTTAGGAGCCGTAGACGGTTGATGGTTGATGTCAAAGCGTTTGAAAACTGTAAATAAATAATACATAATTAATAAATATATTCTACGAACAAGAAGAAAAGTTATAATATTATAAAAATAAACCCAACAAATATATGATTGGTGGTAAGAATGTTATGTAGAAATACCTACATAAGAACAACATAATCTAATCACTTACTTCATCACTTATATTGTCTTTCCATACATTTCTTAATTTGGTAGCGATTACGATTATAGATACTCATCTTGGCTAAGCAATCTGTGCTGTATGTAACCCTTCTAATAATTCTCCAGATTTACACACATACAAATCACAAAAAAGAGGTAAAACTCACTCATAGCATATCACGTATGTTAATATTAGAATTAGAAAACTTTCTAAGCACCTAACGACATGTATAATGACCATTTCTTCTCTGAGAGAGCGATTTAGAAATTACGTCTATCGAGTATATACTGTGTATTGTCATTTACCGGGACATTACACACCCACGGGTATCCATAAAACAGTTAATAGTAACATAATGTACTCGAAATCGATAAGAAATTGTAGCGTTCTCGCAAAATGCCATTTCTAAGATTAGCTCTACACTAGCTGCTTGCTAACATTTGTTTGGTTAGCTGACCTTTTGTTTTGATGTATATAATTTATTGCACTCACTGTCTGTAACAGTTTCAAGCTATCAAAGCTATGATATCCGTATCCGTACGAGATATGTAAAATAAGTTAGTATGAGAAGATATTTTAAGGTTGTTTAAGATTGATAAAATAAAGGATATGAAATATATAAAAAATAATGATTATATAAAAAATCCTGTAAATTTTTCGAACAGTTTTTTTAATAATAATTACTTAAATCTCGGAAATTTAATAAAAAAAATTAAATATTTTAGTTATTAGTAAGCTATACAGTGAAGTTTGATGAAAAATGTCCCAGAAGTGTAACTTAAACAATTGACAATTTAAGCAACCTACTCAGAGAGATATGAATCTCTATTGAATTTCGATACTGTCATTTAGAGACTAAATCTCACCAATAATATCAAGAAGTCTAACTCAAACTTATTGTTATTTACTATTTTATATCCAGGAGTTCTGATGTAGATAAATGTTGTTAATTCTTTTCTGTCATTTTTTTAGGATAGGTTCAGTGGTAAACGGCAACGTTGGGTTTAGACACATCTAATTTTGAATAAAAACACTCTTATAAAGAGAGGGTAGGTTAAGAAAATATTTTAGAAAATTCAACCCCTTAAATTACTAAATAGGGGATGAAATATGAGAGAGCTTAATTTTTTCAAAGTACAAATATGGAAATTAATTTTGTTTATATTACTCATAGAAGATCCCGTCGGGGATACAAAGAAATCATGGATTTAAAAACTAGTTTTTCTTTAAATTTGCAAATTTTTTTTATTATATACTCTCTTAGGGCTCTAATTTAAATAAAAAACATTCCTATATGTTGTTTTTATATTTCTATTCTTGAACGATTGTAGAATGACATCTTGTCTAAGCCCCGTGGTTTTATAGTCATTGGGGCAGCTTATTAAGGGCAAAGCTTAATGACGTGCAATCTCGTATTACATATTTAGCATCAATCATAATTTGTTATCTGTGGACCGGTCGCATAATCTTAACGCTATTACCGTCGGTATAATACTATTCCATTGTCAAAAATATCGATGTCATTGCGGGCACTTAAGGAACAAACATTGTTATAATTAACCGATTCTATCGATACTTTCTCGGCTTTTGAAATATCGATAAACAATAACCGAGCGGCTACCCGATTAAATCGATAAGATATAGGATAATTCCAGGCTCTAATGGACCCGCCGCGAAGCGTAAGGTGATACTTTCTAAAACTATGAAAGATGGAATAAAATATGGTAATATATTTTATTTTAATCTTAAAATTACTACAATGCAACAAAGCACAAAATAAAACGTCAGAAACAGAAAACACATTACATAAGATAAAAGCTTGCAATTATCTAATAGAAATATAATGGTTGAATGGTCCGGATATTATTCAGTACAAATGCGCTCACGAACTTCTTACACGGTCCTAACTGATTCTAACGCGCAGCGCCTAGCGGTTTGTAAGTTAAGCTAAGCGATTATTTCGAGCTTACGTGAGCTTCCATTAAAGTGATTAAATATAGCATTTCTATACTCAGACATAACATTCAGTTATAATATAACAGAATACCTACTACAAATATATATATATATATATTTTCGCTTAGTTTCATATATAATTAGATATATTTTTATATGTTTTTAGTAAATACTATCTACGTCATATTATAAAGATATTTTGTGAGCATTTGAGCGAGATTACATCCTATGGCTGAACCCATAAACTTAGGTAAACCTTATGTTCATTAGTACTAGTGTTTATATCAATGCCATACACATCCACTATAATAATACCTAAATAGCTTTGTAAATTACACAAAGCTAAAATATAAAACCACCGCAAGTTAATAAATAAACAAAATATAATTCAAGTACGACTCCTCCCGGTCAAAATATCTCATAAATCCTTCTTATTTAAAGTTTAATCTTTGATAAGTTAGCAGAGCTAATATTAAAGCTCGCATCGTCACGGTTAAGTTAATTAATTAAGGCTCGTGGTATCGTTTCAAGTGAACTCGCTAATCAATTCTATGTACCGACTGTTTCTATCGGCATGGGGTCCAGTGAATGTTTCTATAGCAATGCTATAAAATTTCTTACATGATATGTAAATATGGAATTAATTAATATTATTCAAGAAACTCTATGTATATACAATAAACATAATAAAAGTGTCACTGATCGCTGTCTGTACATGGAAGATATTTGAGAAAAACTATTATTGAGGGTCTTTGTTAACGCAAAAGAACACAGCACAATGTTTTTTTGGATTTTTTTATCTGTTTGTCTGTACGTTTATGCGCGCTAATCTCAGCAACGGCTAAACCGATTTGGGTGCGATCATTACTAATGTATGGTGGTAAGTTTTACTTAACGTTTAGTATTTGTTTTATTTGAATCGGTCCGTAAATAAAAATTTATGTCAATTTGAAGAATCACCTAGGGACATACCCGAGCGGAGCGAAGGTGAGTCGCTAGTTTATATTATGCATGCAGTATGTTTGTAGTTTCAAAAACATAACACGAACTAAAAATAAACTGAAAGTTCTACGCTATTTTACGATGTGATATGGGTACGAATAGGAATACTGTGTTTTATCACCCCTCTTTCTCTGTACATTTTAGTAATTTCTAGAAAAAATCTGTATGCAACATTCCTTCCGAAAGCTAAATAAATATTTAATAATAATATATATATATAAGCATTCTTCTTGTGAGGACTTCTGGACTGCTTTGTGTACAAAGGTGATCAAAGTTTAATACATATTTCAACAAAAAAAGTAAAAAACTTTATGCTCTAAATGCTTGTCATTAAATCAATCGGGGCATTGCGTTGCGCTATAGGTGGATCATCAACTTAAAACCTAGCATTTAACAGAAATACTCGAGAATTAACGATCTTTACCCATTAAAAGGTTTTTATTGGCAATAAGATCTATGTTAACGAGTTCAAAATTATTGATGATAGTGAGGCACAATAATATTTAATATTGTATTATAAATATTAGCTTTAACGGCAAAATTGTTATAACAAATTTACGCAAACCATAATGTAAATTGAGAATGAAATTTGTCAATCAGTCTTTATAATAATTTTTTGATGAGTAATGAGGTGATATCTTACTTATATTATAAATGTGAAAGTTTCGATGTTTGAATGGATGTTTGTTACTTAATCACGCCATAATGGCTGAACGAATGAAATTTGGCACAGAGATAGAATATAGTTTAGAATACAACATATGCTATGCTAAAAAATGTACAGTTCCCGTGGGGTACATTTGTTTTTGTTTTTCTAGACGCAAACCCGAGCGAAGCGAGTGTGAGCCGCTAGTAATACATAACTATTTCGGATAGTAAAAATCTAAATAATATATTTCAGTAAAGTTTATAATAATGCGACATTTTAAGTCTGGTCTAGTATATTATTTAATCTATGTCAGTGGAGTTCACGGAAAATCCTGAAGCATTAAAAATAAGAGGCTTGGGCGCGCACCCAATCACTAAGCAATGGTGGCGGGCGACAGAAATAACCGCGCGAGATTGACGAGATACATACCATTATGGCCTAACGAACATCTCAATTTAACCAACCACCTGCCTCGCTTTAAATAAACTTGCCATTTGCCAGTGTATAGGAATTCGGTAAGATGCCCTAGCTATAGATTTTCAACGAGCACTCCGGCTAAACTGGTTTATTTTTAAAAAGAACTGTTTGCTTATTTGAAGTTATGAATCATTTGTTCAATACAATTTAGTAAAAAAAATGTAATGCATAGTAATTATAATATTTCTTACTAGCGTTTTTCTGCAGCTTAGCCCGCGTATTTCAATTACATATGTAATAATGTATATTTATAGATTACTAGCGGAAGCCGCGGCTTCGATCGCGCTAAAACTACAAAAATATCTCTAAAAGATAGGTTTCATACAAATTTTCATCCCCTATTTTACCCTCATAAAGGATGAATTTCGAAAAATGCTAAAACACTTATTTAATTAATTTTATTGAAGAGCATTAATACCAAGTTTCAAGTAACTCTGATCATATTTTTTTTTCCAAATTTAAGTGTATGTTTGTTACTATTTATGCTGAAACGGCTGGATGGATTTGGATGAAATTCAGTATGTAGATTATAACATGGAGTAACATATAAGCTACTATTAGAAATATTGCCAATATTTGGTGCTACTATATAATATTCACCTAGTGATGACCCGAACTAAGCGAGAATAATTCTAAATAACTTAATTAATAATAAATTACTAAGCTTTATTAAATTACATAAAAATTATTACGAAACAAATATAAACTACACAAAAGTAAACAATTCTAAGTTAACAAACAGTGTAACACCAGAGAAAGGTTAGATCGTTATA